TATGCAAGAATGTCGAGAGAAATATTAAGTATAGTAATCATCCTTCACTGAGATACTATATAAGATATTTATATACTGCATTCAATCCAAGTTTGTAGGGAAAAATCTGGACTCATTTTAAGGTTTAATTTTCACAAACAAAAATAAAGCAAACAAAAAAAGGAATAAGAATGACAGATAAAACCTGTCTCCATTCCCCCTCACCACCCCCTTGTACTTTATAAAGGACTTGCTTGGAATACAGGGACAGGGATGATTTAATGCTCCAGTGTAAGAGGATATTAAAAGGGATCCCCTGATGCCTTGGGTGGGGCCCCACAATACAATTGAAGAACTCCCCCAATCTAAAGGACAGGGCTGCACAGCCCATGCAGGAGGATGCACAGAGACACTGGAAAACCAGTTCTGCAGATAGTAGCTCATTCTCAACTTCAAACTACTGAAGGCAATTTCTTAGGAGATTGAAGAGATTAGCACTTCCTTGGACTTTTCAGAGTAGTCAAGGGGCCCTGAGTTTTCTCAACTTCCTTCCACCCAGTGGGCGCCAGAGGGGAGAGACTGGGGCTGGCCAGTTCTCCACTGCAGTCCACATTCAGAATTTGGTGGGACAAGGATGCATACATTTCCAGAGGAACAGTTTGCTAGACTCTCAGGGCCCCCTACTGGAGAAGACTGCCTGCAGGGTCTGGGGGCCCTAACCAGAGTCCTAGAGGGAAATGCAAGCAGCCAGCTGGCAAAGGCATTGCCCCTGTCAAGGGACTTGTGAGAGAAAGATCTCCATGACCTCCAGTCCTCAAAAGAACCCACAAATCACCCTAGAAGAGAAAATGACAGCGCTTAAAATCTGCTACAATCAGGGCGCCAACATCAAATGACAACTTTACCAATCAGGGAAGATTTTTGCTTGAAATTCCAGAGGGGCCCAGAGCAGCATCTAAAGGTAGTAGATTTAGGGAATGGGAGAAGCTAAATTTATTGTCCCCTCCACACCACCCCCTGAAGTTCTCCAGGCCTGCAGTAGGCTCTGTTTTGGAGGGCAGACAAGTGAGTTTTCCTTGAGTTTTACCGTTTCAGTATTACAACGTTCAGGACTTTATATTAATTGAAAGTGACCAGAAAGCCTTTGGTACCTGATAAAATGCCATCCAAAGGCAGTTAAAGAACAGGAGCAGAGAAGACAATTGAAATGAGTAATGGGAGAGAGAGTAAACTTACTTTCTGCTTACACATGCTGAGTCTACCTTGCTCAATAAACTGGTTACATCTGTTTTATTTTCCTACTCTGTTAGATGCAGGCGCAATTTGCATAAACTTTTTTATTGTGGTAAAATATATGTAACATAAAAGTGTACAATTCCATGGCATTAAGTACATTCACAATGTTATGCAACCATCACCACTGTCCATTTCCAGAATTTTTGCATCATCTTCAACCTAAGCTCTGTGATCCTAACCACTAACTCCCAGTTCTCCCACCTCAGCCCCTGGCAGCCACAATTCTTTCTGTCTCCATGAATTTGCCTATGCTAGGTACCTCATAAAAGTGGAATCTCACGATATTTGTCCTTTTGTGTCTTATTTCTCTTAGCATATTGGCATCAAGGTTTATCCATGTTATAATGTACTAGAATTTCATTCCCTTCAATGACTGAATAATATTCCATTGTATGCCACATTTTGTTTATCCATTTATCTGATGATGGACATTTGGGTTATTTCCACCTTTGGGCTGCTATAAACATTGGTGTACAAATATCTATTCAAGACCTTGGTTTCAATTCTTTTGGATCTATATAATATATATGAGTGGAATCACTGGTTCATACGGTAATTCTATGTTTAGCTTTTTGAGGAGCTGCCATACTGTTTCCACGGTGACTGGCTGCACCATCTTGCGGTCTCAGCAGCAGCCGCACACCAGGGTTATAATTTCTCCACATCCTTGCCAACACTTACTATTTTCCTTTCTTTGCTTTAGTTTTTGAGAATAGCCATCCTAGCGGGTACGAAGCGATATGTCATTGTGGCTTTGATTTGCCTTTCCCTAATGACTAATGAGGTAGAGTATCTTTTCATGTGCTTATTGGCCATTTGTATAACTCTGTAGAAATGTCTATTCAAGTCCTTTACCCATTTTTGAATTGGGTCCTTGGGGATTTTTTTTGTTGTTACTAATTGAGTTGTAGGAGTTCTTTTTATATTCTGGATATTAATCCTTTACAGATCTATGATTTGCAAATATTTTAGGAGTTGTCATTTCACTCTCTTGATAGTGTCCTTTGATGCACAAAAATTTTAAATTTTGTTGGAGTTCAATTTATCTATTTTTTCTTTTGTTACCTGTGCCTTTGGTGCCATATCCCAGAAATTGTTGCCAAATCCAATGCAGTGAAGACGTTTTTCCTATGTTTTCTTCTAAGAGTTCTATGGTTTTAGTGCTTAAGTTTAGCTGTTTGATCTTTTCTGAGTTAATTTTTCTATATGGTGTAAGAGAAAGGTCCAACTTCATTTTTTTTGCAGGTGGACATCCAGGTTTCCAAGCACCATTTGTTGGAAAGACTTTCCTTTCCCCAATGAATGGCCTTGGCATCCTTGTCAAAAATCAATTGACCATATGCACAGAAGTTTATATGTTGACTATTCTGTTCCATTGGTCTATACGTCTGTCCTGATGCCAGTATTACACTTACCTTTTAAGTTGTAGTATTTTGCCATCATCTTATCATAATTCTGAAAATACATAAAAATATGTATCATTATTGACAATTTAAATCATATTTGTGATAACAGTGCCTGTTTCTCTCAAGTCTAATAAACATCCTTAATAGGTAATAGCATTGTAAAAATGACTCTATCAGAATTCTTACACATTTGCCAAAAGCCTCTTACTCCTCTTTTTCATTCCCTGCTGTTATTCCTCTCCCATAGATGTTACCCTGGACTTGACTCAAAGAGAGTAAAAGCCAAAGTTCTTTTATTAAAATGGCCATAGCCTTGCATGATCTGCCCAATCACAGCTCACCCACCTTTCTGCCCTCATTTCTTAATTCCCCTTCTGGTCCAGCTACACTGATTTCCTTGTTTTTTTTTCTAACATGCTAAGCACACTCCCAACCGAGTACATGTCCCTGTGCTTGCAGAACTCAGCACGGCCATCCATTACCACTTGTACAAAATAACCTTTTCCCTCTCTCCCCCATACCCTTTCTATGCCTTATATTTCTTTATGGCACATATCAGCACTTGACACACTGCATACATACTTATTTGATTATTGTCTGCTGTCCCAACACAACCCGAATGTAAGCTTTGTGAGGGCAGGGCATCAGCACCAATGAAAGAAAGAAAAGAAAAGAAAGAAAGAAAAGAAAGAAAGAAAGAAAGAAAGAAAGAAAGAAAGAGAGAGAGAGAGAGAGAGAGAGAGAAAGAAAGAAAGAAAGAAAGAAAGAAAGAAAGAAAGAAGCAAGGAAGGAAGGAAGGAAGGAAAGAAAGAAAGAAAGAAAGAAAGAAAGAAAGAAAGAAAGAAAGAAAGAAAGAAAGAAAGAAAGAAGCAAGGAAGGAAGGAAGGAAGGAAAGAAAGAAAGAAAGAAAGAAAGAAAGAAAGAATGCTTTAGAGAAAATATAGTGAGTCCTTCTTTATTCATTCAACAAATATTTATTGAGAACTTACTGTAGACTGGGCAGGAAGTGTGTTGAAAACACAGTGAACATTAAACATGCAGAACTCGTTAAATGGTTCCGTACATCTAAAATATAAAATTAAATGAATTTTTTAAAGGTGTGGATGGGTTAGTCTCATAGATGATAAATCCAGATTGGAATCTTTAAAGACAAATCAAGGTTTTGAGGGCAGAACACACTGCTGTTCAGCTATTGCTCAATGCACCAGGGTGGAGAGATCACCCCACCCTATTTGATTCTATATGTCCAGGGAATTTAGAATGGGGGTTCAGTGAAGCTAGTCATTCTCTACTGGTCTTTTGAACAGAGGTGAAAAGGGTAAACACCCTCATAGAGGACAATTCCTTTGCCCTTCCACACCGTGTTAGTCACCAGTTCCCAGAGTCTCCTTCAGGTCTGGCCCGGACTGTGGTCCTCCTTTGGGACCTTGTTAGGGGCTATGCAGGAACAGCGGCACGGCCCTTACAGACCGTGATCACGTTCACAACCTATATTTGAATTGTACTATATTTTCATCGCTACTGGGGAAAAGGCCAAGTGGAAAAATGTGTGCTGTTCTAAATATAGCACCTACCTCTCTATACCTGCTAGATTTAGGTTGAAGCTTTGAGGGCACAGCCTGGACAGTCACCTCCAGTGAAGGGCTTTGGCAGGCCTCAGTAATAGAACAGACTACCGCTACTTTGGAGCAGGGCGGGAAGGACAACGTCGGCAGGCCTCGGGATCCAGCCTGGGGCTCACGTTACCTGTGTGAGATGTGAGTCTCATTGCGCGCTAGTGGTGGGTTATTACAGCTTCACGGGAAGGTGAGAGACCCAAGATGGAAGTGCCTCACCCACCTTCTTCTTAGCACATGTTAGATGCAGGCGCTCATAAATGTTTATAAATGAGTGACTGCACAAGTGAGTGAGTGAATGGGTGCACCGGTGCGATGCTTTCAAGCTGGGTGCAGGAAGACGGGGTGTGGGGAGCCACTGCGGTTGATTTGCGCCCCCACCGACTTCTCCTCCCCGCTGGCCCTTCGCGCGTGCACGCGAGCGCGCACACCCGGGGTAGGAGTGCATGGGCCCGGAGAGTCTGCGGCCAGGGTAGCAAGCAAAACCGAGGACGCGCCGGAGGGGCGCGGCAGAAAAGCCCCCCGGGGCAGGGGGAGGGGCCAGTGGGGGGGCTGGAGGCGCGGGGAGCGGCGGGAACGCGACGAGCCGAGGTAGGGGGCGGAGCTACAAGGCGTGTCGGGAACGCGGCTCGCGGGAGGGGGCGGGGCTACGGGGGCGCGCCGGGCGGAAGGGGTAGGGGAGGGCGGTCCTGGGCGACGCGTCGCGGCCCTGGTACGCACAATGGCCCGAGCGGGCGGCGGAGCTGGAGCCCCACCCAGTGCGGAGCGCGCCGCGGGCCGCGCCGGAGGCTGAGCGCCTCGCCCGTCGAGCGCGCCGGCGCCGGGCCATGTACTCGGGAAACCGTAGCGGCGGCCAGGGCCACTGGGAGGGCGGCGGGGCCGCGGGCGCCGAGGGGCCGGGACCGGCGGGGCCGCTCAGCCCCGCGCCTCTCTTCAGCCCGGGCGCGTACGAGCGCCTGGCGCTGCTGCTCGGCTCCATCGGGCTGCTGGGCGTCGGCAACAACCTGCTGGTGCTCGTCCTCTACTACAAGTTCCAGCGGCTCCGCACTCCCACCCACCTCTTGCTGGTCAACATCAGCCTCAGTGACCTGCTGGTTTCCCTCTTCGGGGTCACCTTTACCTTCGTGTCCTGCCTGAGGAACGGCTGGGTCTGGGACGCCGTGGGCTGCGTGTGGGACGGGTTTAGCAGCAGCCTCTTCGGTGAGTTGGGCTGGGAGGAGGAAGCATTCTCCCCTCTGCCAACTTCCATTCCCTGCATTGCCACCATCTCTGTGCGTCCCCTTGCCACCCAGCCCACTCTCAGCTCCTCATCTCCAACCCGCCCTGCAGCTCAGCGCCCGCACCAGTCTCGCCTCCTCTCGTCAACCCCAAGCTGCATGGCTTTCCTTCCTCTTTGCTTCACCTCCTCTCGCCCCACGGCGGCCTCGGCGCTGTCCCTGTGGCCACTTCTCTCCCCGCAGCCGGCCCTAAACCCCAGCCCGGCTTTGGCCCCAGTTCCTCCCTGACTCCCTCCGTCCGCTGTCCAGTTCGTCTCATTTCTGTTTTCACCCCCTAATACAATTCAACAGGGCACGAAACAGCGGCTTTACACTTTAAGGAAAGAAACGAGGGGCTGTAGAGTCAACAGATTCAAGAAAACTAACTCATGAAGGCTGGAGGGGGTGATGAGAAGAGATTTAATTCAATACTCTTGGTAGCAGAGTGGCAGTGTGTGTAATTTTTTTCTTTAATTTTGCTTATTAGCAGATGTAAACCTTTGAATGCTTCCTAGGAAGTGAAAGAGCTTCATTCGGGTCGTCAGAAATGCAAATCGGCATGTGGCCTTATAAGCTATTTCTACTGTATTTTCCTCCTTAGTCGTTCCAGCACACCGAAATCTGAGGTGAGATTACAGCTGGCTCAGAGAATCCCACCCTAGATGGACAAATAACTGGCTGGGCAGCCAGTAGATTTCATTAAAGTAGAATTTGATTGTTAATTGAACATTTATTTCAACAATACTCCTAATCCTGTGGACGATTCAAGTCTCACTAAGACTTGACATTTTGAAGGATGATCATTGTGAAGGATGTATCATTGAAGATGTGATTTTCTAAGCTTGGGAATTATCTTTCTGTGTGTGCTCCAGGAATTTCATTGACACAAGATGTGAAATAGGAATGTGTATTTCTCAGGTCTTAAAGTTCCTTGAAAAAAAAAAAAAAGAAATATATTGATAATTTATTACTGCTTTTATCTTGGCAGGTTTTTAAGAACAAAATCTTTGTAGCATTACCAGAAAATTGTCTTATTCCCCCAACCTCCTATGTTGTGGCAAACCCAAATATTATGATATTTGTTATAATTAACTTTTTGGTGTTTTGAAGGAAACAAAATTGTCATAGAAATCATGATTTCATTTATTTGATTGACTCAATGATTCCAATAATCTAATACTACTTTCCTCCCGTCAATAAGCAATCTGAGAGTTTTATTTATACAAAGATTTGAAACTTGGGAGGGGGCCTTAAGTGTATGTAGGTGGTGATATAGATGGCTATGTGCTTATACACGTTATATTAATTTAAAATACCTGTCAGGAAGGTTTTTTGGGCAGGGCTAAGCTTTCATTTAAGGAGGATGATTGAAGTTTAAACCCAAAGTGTCATCAGTAATGCTCCCTGGGCTGGGCAACAGGTGTTTGATCACAGACATGAAAGTTCGTATTTCCAAGAAGTGCTTTTTCTGTGCTGGACAGTTCTGTTTCTATTTGGACTCTGGGCCTGGGGGTTTAAAAACAAGGGTATGTTGAGTTCTTTATTAGTACCAGCATTCACCCCCTTCCTCATCTCTTTTCTCTGTGACCTCATTCTGCTGCTGCGTCTCCTTCCATTGCTTTTTCCTCCTTCAGTTCTTCCTGCTCAGGTCCGATCCTAGTCAGAAGGGATTTTCTAAGACTTCTAGAAACGTTCACCACACACGCTGTTTCGCCTGAAGACTGCTCTGTTGCTCTGGGCATATAGTTATTGCTTTCAACCATGCTTTTATCCCTGTTTTTAAATTAGAGGTGGAAACTCCGGAGTAAGAGATTCAAAGACTTTGTTTAAGCCCTGGGAGACAAGTCAGTAGTGGGGTTATGATGGACTGAAAAAGTTCTTAGCCAAGATTAAGAATTTCTTTGCTTGAAGTAAATTCCAAGGATTGTGCTTCTAGATAAGGGTTAAAGTCAACGGAAGGGAGGGTGCTTCCCTGAACAAGAACTAACCATGGAGTGTTGAAGGGGGAGGACATTTAAAAATGCCAGAAGTGGCTGCTTGTTCTAGGGGTTCCTGGAGAGGCTGCCCTATCAAGTGGAAAGCCCAGTGGCCTCCTGACACAAGAGTGGGTTCTACTCTGTTGCCTGGCTAACCTTTTGTGTGGACTTTCCCAGGCACTTAATCCCACCTGCAGTCAATTTTGTTATCTCTTATTGGGGAGTGAGCTAAATGTTCTTTAAGGTTGTTCTGTCCTATGTGCTTGGTATTTTGAGGACTCTTTTGATATCTGTGGGTTAGAAGGTGCCTGGTTTTAGCACTATGGCTTGTATCCTCTGTTCTATCTCCTGAGCCAAGAATAAGCGCATGCTGGGTTACGCTTCTTCATATACCTTCCTGGGTTCTGTCTTCCTCCGCACACCCTGCAAGAAGAAGGCAGGATTAAGTAATGCAGACATACTTACATACATGTATGAGTAGGCAACGCAACTGCCTCATCGGTGCTCATTTCCTGTTTTTTCAGGAAATGCTGAAAACAAGTAGAATCTCTGATATTCTTGAGGCAGAGGCTTTGACTAGACAGGACTGTCAAGATTGCCATTTCACTTAAACTGACTGGTTGGTTTGTTCAGTGAACTAGTCAATTTAATCCAACTTTCGGTTGAATGGCTTATTTTACAAATGTCCAAGCTAATTGGTCATCTTAGCCTAGGCAGGCCCAGTTAGTACTGATGTCAATTTCAATAAGTGTAATGATAGAGAAAATTAATGCTCCAAGAACTCTTCCTCAAACTGCACAATGACAACTGATAGAAAGGCCCCCTTCACGTGGTGTGTATAGTGCCTTAGCCTAAAGACTTCCAGGTGAGTATGCCTTTTACCCCCTTGGCTGTTGCACCTCTAGCCACACCTAGCGCCACACAAAGGTTCTGTGTATGGCATATAACCAGTATTATGCCAGAAGTTAATGGGAGGGCCTTTCTTCACTGCTACCTCCTACCCTTCAAAAACAGCAAACAACATGTTAGTCTTAGCAGAGGATGATGATTAGACGGGGCTTTATCGTGGGATACAGAGATTCAGTGTCATAGAGCCAGAGTCTGGCAAAATGCAGGTCACTCTATGTTCACTTGGATTTTAGAAGCAGGTATTATTTATGTTAAGATATTTTAACTTACAAAGATAGGAATTTTCCTTTTTAACTTATACCTAAAAAAACACATGTACTTATGTACATTCATATAAAGATTCGTTAAAAATGCATGTTCCCTTCAGTAGACCTTTTTTTGCACCTAAATATCTCAAAATGCTAGTTGTTTTACTGAAATAATCCTTTTGCAATAATCTGGCTGGTTAATTCAGTTGAAATAGTCTCACGATGCTACCACGAGATCCTACGGGTGGTTGTGGCATGGAAATGCCTTCATTCGGCTGTTCTAAAATCACCCACAGGCTAAATTGGCCACAGAAATATTCCTCTTCATAACAATGGGCACATACTATGTAGTCTGTTTCCATAAACACGGTGGAACCACACATTTTTTACAGTCTAAGCTCACAGTTCTGTATAGTTTTATTCAAATATTAATTTTATTAAAAGCAAAAGTTACAGAATTATATTATGAAAATTCTTTGTTTTTATGGGACATCATGATGTCCCTTCCTCATTATTGCGTGGTTTTGGGGGGTAAATCTCTATTGTTCATTTTTGAGAAATTAGAAAATATGTAAGAAAGCATTTAATGATTTGCTTTCCTAGGGGCTTATGTCCTGATAACAAGTCAGACTCCAGTGGAGTAATTGTAATTGCTGTTGCATGAAATTACTTTTCTCTTAATATTGTTTACAGTTGTATTCTTTCTTGAATTTTCTTCTTTCAGAGAAGAGTTCCGGTCACAAATGCATGTGTGATGCATTTTGACATTTACTGCTAAGATGAAATGCAGGAATGAAAACCACACATCCGTTTTAGTGTTCTCAGATGTGATTAGATATACTTTATCATATTTTTATGCTACTGACCTATAAGGAAAACAATATTAAGAAAGGGTAACTGTAAACAGCTAGTTCCTGCAACCTCAGTACTTCTGGGATGACCTGGAATAACACAAGGAGAGATTTTATAACAGCATATTCACATCTCAGCTGAGCCCTCAGCCTAGACTCACACACATTTCCTTTATCGGCAGTTGTCACCAGACGCTTTATCTCCCAGAATGGCGGACAGTCTTCCCACAGAGTTCGATGTGGTCATAATAGGGACAGGTCTGCCCGAATCCATCCTTGCAGCTGCGTGTTCAAGAAGTGGCCAGAGGGTTCTGCATCTTGATTCAAGAAGTTACTATGGAGGAAACTGGGCAAGTTTCAGCTTTTCGGGATTGCTCTCCTGGTTGAAGGAGTATCAGCAAAACAGTGACATTGTGGAAGAAAGTACTGCCTCATGGCAAGGCCTGATCCATGAAACAGAAGAAGCTATCACTCTTCGCAAGAAGGACGAAAGTATTCAACACATAGAAGTTTTTTGTTATGCCAGTCAGGATATTGATGACAATATTGAAGAGACTGATGCTCTGCAGAAAAATACTTCCTCAGTAACATCTAGTACCACCACTAAACCTCTGGATTCTGCATGCTTGTCTGAAGAAACACATTCATTATATGCTACTGGCCATGAATTGCCTGCCAAAGGCACTCCAAAAAGTGATGGAGAAATTTCACTAGAAGTAACTGATGTTGAGGACACCTTGGCAAAAGAAAAATATTGTGGAGATAAAACTTGTATACACACAGTTTCAGATGGAGATAAAGATGAAAACAAGCCTATAGAGGAAGACAACACTGACCAACCAAAGAGAAATAAGATTACTTACTCTCAAATAGTTAAAGAAAGCAGGAGGTTTAATATTGATTTGGTATCAAAGCTGCTGTATTCTCAAGGATTGCTAATTGATCTCTTAATCAAATCAAATGTTAGTCGTTATGCAGAATTTAAAAACGTCACTAGGATTCTTGCATTTCGTGAAGGAAAAGTAGAACAGGTGCCTTGTTCCAGAGCAGATGTCTTTAATAGCAAAGAACTCACTATGGTTGAAAAGAGGATACTGATGAAATTTCTTACATTTTGTTTAGACTATGAACAACATCCTGATCAATACCAGGCTTTTGTGCAATGCTCATTTTCAGAGTACTTACAAACTAAAAAATTAACCCCCAATCTCCAACATTTTGTGCTGCACTCAATTGCAATGACAGAATCATCTTGCAGTACAATAGATGGCCTTAAAGCAACTAAAAACTTCCTTCGGTGTCTTGGACGGTTTGGCAACACTCCCTTTTTATTTCCCTTGTATGGGCAAGGAGAAATTCCCCAGTGTTTCTGCAGGATGTGTGCAGTTTTTGGTGGAATCTATTGTCTTCGTCATAAAGTTCAATGCCTTGTAGTTGACAAAGAATCTGGAAGATGTAAAGCAATTATAGATCACTTAGGTCAAAGAATAAATGCTAAATATTTTATTGTGGAGGATAGTTACCTTTCTGAGGAAACATGCTCAAATATACAGTATAAGCAGATCTCCAGGGCAGTGCTCATTACAGATCAGTCTATACTAAAGGCAGATTCAGATCAGCAAATTTCCATTTTGGTAGTGCCTCCAGTGGAATCAGGAACATGTGCTGTTCGTGTCACTGAATTATGTTCTTCAACCATGACGTGCATGAAAGACACCTATCTGGTACATCTGACCTGTTCATCTTCTAAAACAGCACGAGAAGACTTAGAGTTAGTAGTGAAGAAATTATTCACCCCATTTACTGAAACAGAAATAGACAAGGAAGAACTTACAAAGCCAAGACTCTTGTGGGCTCTTTATTTTAATATGAGAGATTCCTCAGGAATCAGCAGAAGCTCATATAATGGCTTACCTTCCAATGTTTATGTCTGCTCTGGGCCTGACTGTGGACTGGGAAATGAGCATGCAGTCAAGCAAGCTGAAACGCTTTTCCAGGAGATCTTTCCCAATGAAGAATTCTGCCCCCCACCTCCGAATCCAGAAGACATTATCTTTGATGGTGATGATAAACAACCAGAGGCTCCTGGAACCAATAATATAATCATGGCCAAACTGGACTCCTCTGATGAAGTAAAAACCTAGAAAGCCCAGGGAAGCACCTTCAAAACTAGAAAAAAGCAAACTGGAAATGCTACTTTGGGCCTGCATCCTGGCATCAGAATATTTTCATTTAAAGGACCATTTCCTATATGATTAATTAGAACTGGTTATATGATAAATGCTATGCAGATGTTGTCTTTAATTCTGTTTGAGACATTCAGTCATTGGATGTCGTTGTTAATCTATCAGTAACTGATTGATTATTGGATAAGGTTAGTTTTATTTTAGTATTGGGTGTATTAGTGAGGGTTCTATATTAGCAAATGTGCTTAAAGGGATGTAATATGTGTCTGCTAATGACCTTCAGATTTTATTAGTCTATAATAATATCTAAGGAATATTTTATTTACTTTTGCAATTATTTTAGTTGCTACTGCCTCTGAATAATTAAACACATACAGTAAATTATGTGGGTCTTTGTATGTAATATAAATGTACAGACACAGTGGTAGCAATAGCAACTTATGCAAGTGCCAACTGTTAAAAGATTAGCTTTGGATGATCCTTTATTTGTGAAGGTCTAGTGTTTACAACACATTGTGCAGTTCAGTTCCCCTACTTGACCCTTGTAACCGGTGAGGCAGTGACACCACCACAATCTTCTGTATTACAGAAAGTGGTGGATTGTTCATCTGGTCACTGAAGAGGTCATTCTTGGGAAATTTGACCCAAAGGAAATCTAGGGGTCAGATTAGTTCTGGTTTAATACTTCAGAAAATTTCTGCAGAGCCCTGTGCTGGCACCTAAAAGAAAAGAACTTCCAACAACTAACTCAGGCCAAAAGAAAAAAATATATTGCCCCAGGAAAAGGTCTGCAGATTGGCTGTTTTGAAATTCCTAAGAAGAGATGGAGTGAGGCATTTCTAACCTGGGATACTGGTGGTTTTTCAAAGCCATCCATAGATTTCCCGAGGTTTCTTCATGAGGGTGAGATCTACCACCTTGTTGGCACTACCACTTTAATTAGCAGCACTGACTATGACAGATAGGAGTGAATGGAAGGAGGGTTTCACCAAGTCTCCCTTGAGTCTCACCTCGCAGTTAGTGAGATGACTGCCTCCATGATCACTTCTGCCTTTCAACTGTTATCTAGAGAACAGAAACATTTTTTTCTAGAGCCATCAGAAGTCAAAACTGTTGTACTCCAGTAGTGAAAACCTGTGGGGTTGTCAGAAGAGGTAAACTGCCTCCCCCTTCAGTCTCCTGTTTCCATTCTTCTGAATGGTACTCCTATAGGAAGAGAGCCCTCCAGAGCCAATTTTCGTTCTGGAATGGAGCATTTACTTATGTGCTAGGCACCTGTGCTTTCTAGTTACAGTTTCTCAACACCCTGTAAGGCTGATAGTATTGAATACGTTTTTAAAGAAGAGGTAAAGACAATTATTAATAATTTGCCCAGGGTCTGGTATGTGGAAGAGCCAATGTTGGAATCCAGGCTGTCAGGATTTTGAAGTCTCTGATAACATTAACTGTTAGAGGAGTGCAGGCGCTGCAGGAGGAGAAGACGCTCATGAAAGTCCATGTAGCATTTCGGGGGAAGCAGAGCAGACAGACTCCAGTCTCTCAGCTTATACTCAGATCAGGGAAATGTGAAGATAAGGATTAATTAGAAATAAATATAGTTTAGAGCTAAGGAGCTCATGGAAGCAGAATTTGGCTAAGTTTTAACAAAGTAATGCTTTTTAATAATGTTTCTTTTGATCTGAACATGTTATGAAAATATGCAGATGTTACTAGACCAAAATAAGTTGTGAATAGTCTTTTGTTGCTCTTCTGTATGTGAGGAAAATGAAACAAAGACTTAAGTAATTTACAGCTTACTGAAAATAGAAGTCATGAATTGGTATTAATATTTATGCATTTTTTTAATATGGCAAAGTGGTTCTATTAGGTATATCCTAAGGTTTAAACATATCAAAATAATTTCACAATCTATAAAACAGAGATAATACTTTGCAGAATTATTGTGAAGATTAAGTTAGATAATGTCTTTGAAATCATATCCAAAGGAATGCCACTAGATGACATTAATATGTAGATTTATTACACTTCCACTTAACATTCCAACTGATACTTTATATAATTTGACAGAATTGTGGCAAATTAGGAAAATAGGCAAGGAAAGATTTATCTTTTTAACTTAGGGAAAAAGAAATGAGAGCCTTGCCCTTTAAATCCTAAATTAACCTTTCTAAATATACTATGATGCTGAGTAGGAAGTTTAACTGAGACTTAATAAACCAGTTGGAAAGATACAATTATGTAATAACTACTGGTGGAAAGATTAATTGGATGTCAGTGTGAAAAAAAGAATTAGGCCCACTTTACACATGGTAAGACCATTCATTCCGTATGAATTAAAATGTTGATTATAAAGGTAAAAATAAAAAGACTACAATTCTCATCCCAGTAGTACAAAAGAAACTTTATGGCAGTGGAAATATCATTGGCAGCATAGGTGAGATCAACTAAAGAAAAATAAATGTACACTAAATAGGAAGAAGACAAAAAAAGAAGAGATTGGATTACTCATGGATAAAGTGCTTAATATTTTTTAAAAAGTAGATGTAAAACCATAAAGTTTCTACTCTTTACTAAGTAAATTTATGAAAGGATAGAGTACAAATGAGAAGATTCAAGTAAAAGTCAATTCTTGGAATGATATTCAGGTTTCCTACTATTAAAAATGCAAATTGAAACAACTTTGACCTGGTTTATGCTATTATATTAGCAAAACATTTTAAAATTCATGTGTCTTCATACCAGTAGCATTATATTAGTAATTTTTAAAAGAACTATTTAGATGAATATAACAAAAGCTCTGTAACCAATCTATTTTTGGCTAGATCAAGGCACTTTGAACAGCATATGCCCAGGAAAATATTTAAAAGAAAAATAAGCTACTTGTACAAGATAGTTCTAGCAATTCTATTCTTACACGTTTAAAAAAAAAAGCCCAGTTTTGGGAAATGGATAAGTAAATTTTGATATATTGGTATTGCTATTGTAGACCGTTATATAGTCATTAAATGATATATGTAAAATTGTATGAAAAACGTTAAATGAGATTCAAAAGTGTTAAAACATTATTTTATGTACTGATTATACTTGTGTAAAAGTTTAGGTGTCTACATTGAAAAGAATCAGAAGAAAACATGTAATTAATTGTGGAGTTTAACATTAAAGGGTTCTTTTTTTCTGTGAAATGTTGATGTGTATGATACAAATAAAAAATAATTGGTAAAGTGGTTACTGAATTGGTGAGAAAGTTACTGATTTTTTGGGAGACTTATAAAATTCTTCAAATTAAAAAAAATGCATTTTTTTTAATTTTAATGTCAAAAGGTAATCTCCAAAAACATAGACAGAAAGTTTTACAACTCTTGTTGGAACGGACTTACTGGTTAAGATGGATTTTGTATCTTGTATCTTTCGTCAGTTGCTCAGAATTAAGAAATAAGGTATATTGTGGCAACACTTTTTTAAAACATGGAAACCCCAGAGGCAGAGGTGGAAATAATAGAAATAATATTAAAGCATCCTAGGACATCTGTATGAAGACATTACATACTAATTAAAAAGTGTGGCCCCAAATCCAAGGATACACTCTTCATTTGGGAGTCTTGGAGGCCAGGGAAATGAAGGAGGATTTGGATTCATAGACATGGCCAACCCTCTGTCTGAGGAATGTTCTCAGGGAGACCACCTAAGGACAGATCTCAGGACACTGAGGATGCTAGCAGACCCTTTCTTCCTGTCAGCCTGACTGATCCAAAGCAAGCTGATTGAATACAACAAACATTAGTTGAACATCAACTGTGGGTTATGAATTAACATTCTAAGAATTCAAAATAGAAAAATGAGTAAGTTTTGTACCAGAGAACCTTTCTGTTGGAGAATATACCTTTTTACCTTAATGAGAATATAAAACATTTTCTATCCATCATACTCCCCACTATAACTACTACCAGCCTGCCCCCCCCAACAAAAAAAAAGAAACAGGGAAATCTGGTTTGAGATGCACAGCCTTCCTTTAAAGGGAGTACAAACATTTTACTACAGTTGGAAACAAGTAGCTTAAGAGTTAAAAGGTCAGTTAAGTCTATTTTAGCTACCACTCAGCTAATTAAGTTTCTCACATTAATCAGAAGTTTTTTGTGTTGCTTGGGGGGAAACATGAAGAGAAAGTACAAGAGATGGGGTCCCGGGGACCCAGGGCACTGAGAGCTCAGGGAGTCAGGAGTGTAAATACACCAAAATGATGAAGCAGATCATAAAGCTCCAAGGCCAAGAAGTTCTGATTAGGATGAGTTGTATTTCCTTCCTCCTGGCAGCACAAGTGGGAGTCATGCTCTCACTGCATGGAGGTGGTCGCCTCCTCTTTGAAGATTTTTAAATTTTTACTTCAGTATCTTTACCTTCATTATTAAGAGGCATTGTTTCTAGTGTGGTTCTTAATTCTTTTAACCAACAACCTAATGTATTCACATTTCAACAGAAGGGGACACAATACAGCCAGCTCTCTGTAAGGCATGAACAAAGAAGCTGCCTGAGCTGGAAGAATTGGACTCTAACATGCATATTAGGAGAGCAGTCCTGCTGCAGCACTGGTAGGAACACTGCCTTTTCTCTTGACAACTACATTTTCTTTCATGAACCTCAGGACAACTATGTCAGGTAAGAAAGGGCGGGTATTTATACCCGTTTCCCAGATAAGACCTGGAGGAATTGTGGGACTGACGTGGATGCACCCCTAGTGAGTGCCAAGATCATTCATGAGAATTGCAGCATAACTGTGCCAGGCTGCCTCCAGGTCGGTACAGCTGCGTGTCGCATGTAAGAGTGTGTAACACAGAAACCACTGCTTGAAAAGTGGCTCCTAGAATTTTAGAGGACATTTGTTTTTCAACAAGTAGCAAAAAATCTTCCTATCAATTAAGATGTGTGTGACTGAAGTGGGACGATGGGTTGGGAGAGGGCGAAGGAAGTTGATGACTTAAGGTCATACCCGAAATCAAAGCAGACAGTTTCATTACCCCAGTATTTATTTTGAGAGCTTCATTTCTTGATATGCAGTGTCTATTAGTTCCTGCTGTTGTCCTAGGATTTTGGCATTTTCTTGTTGCTAAATATGTATTTAACCCTAACACCCTCTGAACGATGACTATGAATAAAGGCATGTCTGTCATTGGAGGAAACAGTGAGTGGCTTCAGAAGTGCAGGGTTGACAAAGTATAATAGGAAGGTAAATACCTGTTTGTAGTTTGGTGCCTAATCTTTAGGCATGTTCTAGTTTTAAAGAAATAGAGTCCTTGCGGACATTCATGCCATGGGGTTAATACCAGTTCCTTTTATTACTTATCACATGATTAAAGTCCTTGGAGCACCCATGTCTGTTTGAGATTTTTAAAATTTTTTAAAGATTTTATTTATTTGACAGAGGAAGAGAGAGAGCACAAGCAGTGGGGAGAGGTAGAGGGAGAAGCAGGCTCCCCGCTGATCAGGGAGCCAGAGGTGGGACTCGATCCCAGGACCCCGAGATCATGACCTGAGCCAAAAGCAGACGCTTAACCACGTGAGCCACACAGGTGCCCCTGTTAGAGACTTTTATTTGTTCTTTTATTTATTCCTCCCCCATACTTAAAAATAACAGAAATATTACTAATGAAGTATAGGGAAATATTTTTTTGCATCAATATAAGTTAATTTCATCATTATGTGTAAGTTTAAAGTTTTTATCCCAATTTCAGCATTGCTATTGCCCATTGTAAAGAAGAAATTTGGCGGAATGTCCTGCTGGGGAAGACCAGGGAATCTTGTCTTTAGGCAATTAATATAACTATTAATTTCCTAAAATGACTTCAGTGAAGTATTATGGAGAAATGAGCTGTATGTCCATCTCTTCCTTTAACAGTCCCACTTTATGACTGCATACCGTTTTTTATCATGGCCTCTGTTGAGACAAATACCAACTAGGTGCTTATTAAAAGGAAAATGCAACAGATGAGAACTGCATTAGAAGTCATTTGTCATGAGATTATAATTTCCTTTAAAATAAAGTCTGAGTGTGCTGTAACTCTACACCCTCTATAGTATCTTGTACTTCACAGGCCGCCAAACCCAGATTTGCTGCACCCTTCTTTCCATGTCACCCCTTTACCTTCATCACCCCATTCCAGACAGAGGACCACTGGGGCCAAGCTCTGGGAAAATATATCAGAACCATGGTCCCGGGTCTTTTTGTTAGTAGC